CATTTTAAATTACTAAACTAAACTCAGAACATATTGTGAAACAGGACATTTGCCTGGTTGACTTGTCAGGATTTTCTGTGGCCAAAACTAAGGCTCCTTTAGCATTTCTATGTCTGAACATATTGAACATATAAATGCTAAAGGAGCCATAGTTTGGCCACAGAAAATCCTGACAAGTCAACCAGGCAAATGTCCTGTTTCACAATATGTTCTGAGTTTAGTTTAGTAATTTAAAATGTGCATCATAACACTTTCCCTCCTGATCAATTGAAAGCTGAAGAGGTGTCTCTTCGTCCCTACCCCCACTTTATCTCCATGGAGCAAATATTTATTTTGCTGCACGAAGCCCTGGTGTAGATATTGGCTAAAACAGGACTCTGTGTATTTTATTTTTACTGTAATTTTATGCAATGCTCTTACAGGTAAAAGTAAAGGTTTTCCCTGTCAGTCAAGTCTGACTGTAGGAGGCAATGCTCATCTCTGTTTCTTAGATAAGGGAGCCAGTATTGTCTGAAGACATTTCCATGGTCATTTAGCCAGTATGATATGGCTACCTTCCCACCGAAGTGGTACCTATTTATCTACTTGCACTTGCATGCTTTTGAACTGCTAGGTTGGCAGGAGCGGAGACAAGTAATGGGAGCTCACCACTTAAACTTTATATATCACCTTGATGACACAAAACTATCTAGAATAGCTTGTTACATCTCAAGGATAACTTGCTCTCATGTGAAACTATTCATTTCTTGGATATTCAACAGGGTCCTTAGTCCCTATTCATAATGGGAAGCACATATTTCTCTTAATCTGCTATCTCCCCTCATGCTTGAGATTCTTCAGTTACACAGAAATTTGTTACACCAATTATACATTGTTTTAAAAAACAAGCAAATATTATTTTGTTTCCTTAGCTCAAATTAGTTATTGTTATGCATTTTAAACTGATGATTGATGCAGTTTTAAGAATTAGTTCTCATTTATTTTGGGAGTCTCTTGAAGAATTCCTTTGGATTAAACAGTGGACTACTTGCAAAGAAAACTAAACACAATATTATATTGAATATAAGAAAAAAATTAAAGAACATTTGATCACCACAATCTTTGGATCGCCGCGAGAAACCCTCAATTCAGAAGTACAAACTCTTTTATCAGTACAATTAAAAAAACCCAGAATGTACAATATTTAAGAAAGGAGACGTTAAGACAAGGAGTTACAGAATAAGGCAATGATTGGCACATAATTGATTTGATTGGGAATAAATGACAAAGTGCTGGAATGTAACTGGGGATCAAGGGATACCTGTGGGCATTTGGCTACGCTGTAGCAATCCCCAGCAGTGGCAAAAGGAACAGGTCTCCCATCAAGTGTCTGTGCAAACTGTAAATCGGTAGCTGTGAAAAAAAATATTTGGCAAGAACCACAGAGACAAAGGGGAAATGGAATGGTTGGGGGAAAAAAATGCAAATGTTAAATTTGGCTCTTACAGAAAATAAAACACTTAACTATATACATTTATTTTTCTGACTCATCAGCAATCCTCCCTGATTTTTCACATAGATAGTTAAATGAGAAACTTGGCACAATGTTTAAACTTGTGTAGTGAGATACTGCAATTGAGGAATAACCCTGTGAAAACCATTCACCATTACAAGCATTGTACATATGAAGGGGTACCAATCCTTTAGCAATGTACTACAGCTTTGCCTGTGTCCTGTTTGTTTCTTTATGTTTCATAATATGTCTAAAATTGTAGGATTGTTCTATAGCAGCAAGTTTCCCCTGCCATTTGTTTTAACTATAGGCATAAAGTGTGGATGTAGTCCTATAGACCAGGGATGGCTAACCTTTTTTGGATTGCGTGCCAAAAGCGGGGGAAGCGCAATGGGGTTGTGCGTGGGTGTGCAACACCCATAATGCTATGCGCGTAACCACCTGCGCATACATGCACATGCAACCAGCCCTCCCCCTGCTTATGGCATGCTTTTTTCCCCCCCCCCCGCCCCCCCCCCCT